TTAAATTTTTTTCACAATAACGATTATATAGTAATTGATTAAAAAATAAGCTTAAGAAGGTACATTAAAATGAAAACTTTGTTGATAGTAAAGAGCTTGTTGTGTTCTGTCATGACTTGATTAGCTGGATAATTTGAAATTTATCCTCGTTCTAACATTATCATAGAAATTATCTTTATAGAACATTAAAATGTTAGAACACCTATATAAAATCTTAACAGTTTGTAAGTTTTGTTAAATTTATATTCTAACACCCAATAAGTCTTTGGAAAGAAATAATGAAATATAGAATGATATAAATAGATTAAATATCTTAAAGATAAGCCTGCTAGCTAATTCTCATTAGTTATAGAATCAAGCATTATTCTTATCCTCCTTAAAAGAATGTCAAGTTATTTATGACTTTTGGAGACTTAGGAAATCACTCTGAGCTCTTATGGCAGGAAATAATTTGGGTCTGTGTCCTCTGTACCCAGCACAGTGTTTGAAATATGTAAGATACTCAATAAAATAGTTTGCAGGCTTGAATTGTGATCATGAGAGGTAGTCCTTCTTAGTTAATCCTAAATAGGCATTGACTTCTTTGATAAGACACCAAAAATTACTTCTTCTTGTTAGTTGATGATGACTCCTTATGGGCTTAAAAACAACATGTCTGAACCTTGCCCTATCTTGTACCAGCCTCACTATCTCTGACATGCTAGAGTCTATCGTTACTATCATTGTGTCTGTCTTGTTGAAGGGATTCCTGTCTGTCTTTCTCTGCCTTTCTCAGCATGTTGTCTTTTTCCGAGGACTAGCCCCTCCTGATAACATGTCCAAAGCAAGTGAAATGAACTTTCACCATCCTTGCTTCTAAGGATCATATTACTTAAAGAACTATTATAATTTGTCTATAGTTACATGTTATGAAATTCTACAGTTTTATGTGTTTCTTTAAAAATATTTTGGTGTGATTTTCTGTAGAACTTTATCCTACCTGAAATGATAGTTTGTATGTTTGTTTTTTGTGATTTTTTTTAAGGGTCCATTGTTTGCTTTTATTTCATCCAGCAGAAGGTTCTATTTGTGGAAGTGAACAGACACTAGGGATTAAAGCTGGGAGGAGGCAGGAAAAAGGGAAAAAGAAAAAGCCATGTCTGCTACCATGCACAGATCTTCCCCAGAAATACCGCGGAGGGGGAATGGCTGATTGGGGAACTCATCAGCTTTTTCAGTTCTCCCCTTCCTAAGCTTCAGTCGGGCATTGGTAGCACCCACCACTTCAAGCAGGGCTCCCAAGTCCCTGGGCACTGGGGCTAAAGGGGGACTGGGGGCTGCAAGGACTGCCTGTTAGTTTGTTACTGGTTGATTTCTACGTGAGGATTTTGTCTTGCCCATCACTGTAATCTTATCACCTATGGGAAGACCTCCACCAAGATGGGTTGACAAGGTGACTGCAGCAATGGGCTTAAGTTTATCAGGAATGATCTGGATGGCAAAGGTTCAAATCCACTGTTCACAGTGTGACAAGTCATAGTCTGGACTTACAGCACCTGACAGCAGGTGATAAAAGCAATAGTCACGGAAAGAAAGTGCATCTGCATCAGAATCACTCCTATAGAATAACATCTGGCTGAATAAATAAAAATTCATGTAACACATAATATTTTTTTTCCTACCTTCTGAAAACAAAATGGATGTAGGATTTGGAAAGACAGTCTCATAAACCAGATAAGTATGACTCCACTTTTTAATTAAACAGTCCCACAGTTCAATTAAACCCCTTCCTATGTGACTTGTTGTCCCTGAAAACTGGCTACAGGGTCAGCTATGGGTCAGTTCTGACTCGATGGCACACAACAAGAAAAAGAAAAGTACTGCATGTAGAACTCAGCCCGACTCCTCTTTACCTGAGGGTTTGCAGCCATAATGGTGTAGTTCCCGTCATCATCTAAGGTGGAAGCTGTGATGTGAAGAGAGCAGGTCCCATCAAGGTCTCTTTGAATGGTATAGTGATCACTCTTTGGAGAAATCTGCTTTCCATCTTTAAACCAATAGATCTATGAAAGGAAACAGTAAAAGATTAAAAGTGTGATGAACTTCACAGATCAATGGAATACAACAGAGCCTCCAGAAATAAACCCACAGCTCTATGGTCAACTGACACTTAACGAGGGTGCACAGGTCCATTTGATGGGAAAGAGTCACTTCAATAAATAGTGCTTGAAAAATTAGATTTTGGCCTGCCTTCGCATGGTAAAAAACAAATTAGAAAAGGATTATATGTGCATATAAAATTCTTATAAGAAAAAGCAGGGCCAATTTTGTCAGGCCTAGCTTTCAATAATAAATTATCTAATAAAGAAAACCATTATACGCTGTAAACTTTCACTTAAATCACAATAAAATGTTTTGTTTGTTTTTTAAAAATTGAATTATCTACTATATAATAAGTAAAGCAGAGTCAACAAAAGACTTGATAAATAAATGAAAGCTCTTAAAAAATAAATTAAGAGCTTTTGTTAATGGAAACAATTTACTAAAAACAGAAAAGAAGCCACCATCTACTTGGGCAAAAGCTTTAAAAACAGATATCTGACAAGAATCTAAAACCCAAAATATTAAGGAAACTTTGACAATAAAAAGACAAGTAACATAATCACAAAGTGGGCAAAGGGCTAAAATAAACATTTCCCCAAGGATGACATTCAAATGGCCGCTAAGTACACAAAATGATGCTCTGTTTCACTGGTGATCGGTGAGATGCATCACAACCACATCCAGATGCCACTTAGCTCCCACTAGGATGACGGAGGAGCTCTGGTGGCCTACTGGCAAGGAGCTGTGCTGCCACCACAAAGGCACATCGTTCGAATCCACTAACTGCTCTGGAGCAGAAAGATGAACAATCTCCTCCCATGGATTTACTGCCTCTGAAGATCCACCGGAGGCTCAGCTTTGTGTTGGTTTGGACTCCACGGTAAAAAACAACTATAACAAGAACAGGATGAATAAAATAAACATAATCCAGATAATAGTAAATGTTAGTGAGTGTGGGGAAATGAGAGTCTTATTGAGGGTGAGTGATTAACTGCCTCTGAAAATGCACTGGAGGGTCAATTATGAGTTGGTTCCCACTCTTTGGCACACAACAACAACAACATATATTGATGGTAGAAATGCAAAATGGTATACCTCTGTGGAAATCAGTGTGGCAATTCCTAAAAAACTCAGAATATGACTCAGTAATACAACTCCCAGGCACATAATCCAAAGATCTGAAAACAGACATTCATAAAGAAACCAACCCTCTGATGGTACCAGCGGTCAGGAAATGGAAAGATAAATTGCATTGGGAAAATCTGACTTCAAGGACCTCTCCAGAGATTTGAAGAACAGCAATGTCTATCTAGAGACTAAGGTGTGCCTGATCCAGGCCATGGAGTTCACAGTTACTTGCTATGCAATTAATGCCTCTGAGTCGTGGCGTTGGAAAAGAGTATAGAACTGGTAAAAGAACAAAGAGATCTGTTTTGGAAAAGGTGAAACCAAATTGCTCCTTGGAGACCAGGATTTTGAAGCTCTGTCTCCTATACTTTGGGCACATGGCCAGGAAGGACCAGTCATTGGAGAAGGACATTATGCCTGGAGACAGCAAATGAGACAAAGACCCTGGAAGAGATGGATTGACACAATAACTAAGGTAATGGGGATAGGTGTGTTGGAGACAGTGAGATTAGATTGGCTTAGGATAGGGCGGGGTTCAGAGCTATTGTGCAGATGGTTGTTGTTAGTCACAGGTGATTTGAAGGCACATAACAACAACAACAACAACCTTGACATGATGTTACTCTAAGAACTATCTATGTAGGGTCAAATGAATAACAAAATTGAAAATCCAAGCAAAAACTTTTGGGTTCAATAAATTTAGATTATAAGGGAGAGGCAATTTAGAAAAGGAGGTTAAGAATGTACAACTCAAAGAGTATATATAATCAATGCCACTAAATTGTACACGTATAAACTGGAGTGGCATCCACTTCCTAAATAACATGCCTCTGGAAACTCTATGAACTTTGATAAATGTTGATATTTGTAGAGGGGCTTCAGGCCTTTTGTTTATAGGGATGCTGTGAGTCGTGCTAGACTTGAAGGCAATCACAATAATAACAACAACACCACCACAAACTGCTGTTTAGTGTATGTTTTGCTGAGTACATTCTCAACAATAACAACAAAATAAGTGAAACCCAAAACAACTGTGTAAAGACCTACTCTACTAGCTGACTAAATGACACTGTAGTTTACAGAGCTAATCTAAAATTTCAGATTAAAATGTTAATGCCTAAATATTATGAATGTTGAGTTTTAAAAAATGGATATATAATTGAATTCAATTGTATTTTAGCTCTAAAAAATTAAATTATATGTTATTATTTTTAAGATCTGCACAGTTGAATGCCTTTGCATAATCCATACAACACAAATAACATCTTTCTAGTATTCTCTGTTTCAATTGACATCCATTTGATTTTAGTAATGATATTTCTCCTTCCATGGCCTGTTCTGAGTCAGTCTGAATTTCTGTCCATGTGCTGCTCCAGCAGATTTTTAATATTCTTCAGCAAGATTTTACTTGTGTGTGATTTTAGTGATATTGTTTTATAATTTCCACGTCTGTTACATTACCTTTTGGGGGGAAGGTGGGGACAGGGAGGAATGGACACAAATGTGGAATCTCTTTCAGGCAATTGGCCAGGTAGCTGTCTTCCAAATTGGTGACCATGTTTAGGGTTACATCTGATTGCTGAAACAATTCAGTTGGTATTTCATCAATTCCTGGGGTTCTGTTTTTGTGCCAATGCCTTCGGTATACTTCAGTACCTTTTTCATTTAGTATCGGTAATCCAAACAGACAAAGGGAAATGGCATGGTTTAAAATCAGGAAAGGTGTGCATTAAGGTTGTATTCTTTAACCATACCTAGTCATTATGGATATTGAGCAAAAAAATTCAAGAAGCTAGACTATAGAAAAAAAAACGTGGCATCAGGATTGTAGAGAGACTCATCAACAACCAGCATTATGCAGATGACACAATTTTGCTTATGGAAAGTGAAGATGACATGAAGCACTTACTGAAGAAGAGTAAAGACTGCAGCCTTTAAAGGGATTACATCTCAGCATTCAGAAAATAAAAATACTCACAACTGACCAATAAACAATCTCTTGGTAAATGCAGAATAGCCTGAAGTTGTCCAAGATTTCATTTTACTTGGATCCAGAAACAATACAAAACATGGAAGCAGCAGTGAAGAAATCAAGACATGTTGTATTGAGCAAATCTACTGCTAAGAATCCCTTTCAGATGACAATTCTACCAAAAGCAATATGCCTATTCAATGCAATCCTAATAGATATCAAATTCATTCTTCAAAGAGATAGAAAAGTCAATAGGCAAGTGTTTGGTTTTTTTTTTAAGAACCCCCAAATAAGCAAAGCACTTCTGAAAACTAAAATGAAGTGGAAGACATAGCACTTTCTGATCTCAAAATTTACTATGAAGTTGTAATAACCAAAACAGCATGGTACTGGCACAATGACAGACACACAGGCCAATGGGACAGAATCAAGAATCCAGAAATTAATGCATCGACCTGTAGTCAACTGGTATTTAACAAGGAAACAAAATCTATCAAGTGAGCAAATAGCAACCTATTCAACAAATGATGCTAACAAAACTGGACTTCTACCTGCAGAAAGTTGAAGCAGGATCCACATCTCATACCATACACATAAATCAACTCAAAGTGGATCAGAGATCTAGAGGTAAAGCTCCAAACCATAAAGATGATAAGCAACAAAATGAGACCAAACTTAGAATGCTCAGTCTATGGTATACATATGCTGACAAATACAGCCAGAAATGCATAACCAGAAGAGGAGAACATTTTTGAATGAATTGTCTAACAATTAAATCCTTGTGCGCATCAAAAACATTTCCCAATAGTGTGAAAAGAAACCTTCTTACTGGGAAAAGACATTTGGCAATGACCTCTCAAACAAGGGTCTCATATATATAAGTTTTATAAAATACTACAAGGGTTCTGCAAGAAAAAGACTGATAACTCAATTACAAAATGGGTAAAGATATGGTAAAACTTTTCAAGAGGAGGACATTCAGATGGCCAATAGACACATGAAGAAATGCTCAAATCACTGGCAATAAGAGAGATGCAAATAAAAACCACAATGAGAAACCATCTCACCCCAGCAGCAGTGGCAAAGTTTAACAAGGCCGTAAGCTATAAATGCTGGAGAGGATGGGGAGAAATTTGAACTCTCATACACTATTGGTGAGATTGTAAAATGGTACACCTACTCTGTTATGTTATGCTCTGTTGTTATGCTTCAAAAAGTTGGACAACAACTAAGGATGAGAGAAGAATAGATGCCTTCGAGTTGTGGTGCTGGAGAAGAGTCTTGAATATACCATGGACTGCCAAGAAAACAAATAGGTCTGTCTTGGGGAGGGTGAAGCCAAGTCTTCTTGGAGGCTAGAATTCTGAAGCTCCGCCTCACTTATTTTGGGCATGTGGCCGGGAGAGATTGGTCCTTGGAGAAGAACATCATTCTCAGAAGGGTGCATGGACAGCACAGGAGAGGAAGACTTCAGATGAGATGGATTGATACAGTGACTGGGACGATGGGGGTTGATGTGTCAGAAATAGTGAGACTGCCTCAGGACAGGGAAGGGTTCAGAGCTGCTGTACATGGAGTCACTGTGCAATGCAGGTGACTCAACCTGCAATAACATTCTATGACATATTTGGAAGAAGGAGTGGCATCTACTTCCTAAACAGTATGCCTCCGGAAACTCTATGAACTTTGATAAATGTTGACAGTTGGAGAGGAACTTCAGGCCTTTCGTTCATAGGGTTGCTATGAGTTGTGTTTGACTCGAAGGCAATCAACAACAACAACAACAACTCTGGAAGGCAGTTTGACATTTTCTCTATGATACTGAACATAGAAATTCTATATCAATCACCCAGCTACTCCACTCTTAGGAATACACTCTGAGAAAAACAGAACAGAGACACAATCACACTGATGTGCACAGCAGTATTATTCACAATAGCAGGAACAGGGAAACAGTCCAAATGTCCATCAATAAGCAACTGGATTGAGAAATTGTGGTATATTTACATGATGGACTATTATGAAGCACAAAGCAGCAATGTTATAGAAAAATACTTCATAACATGAGGGAGGCTAGAGAACATTATGCTGAGTGAACTAACTCAGGCTTATAAGGACAAATACTGCATAAGACTATTATTGTAAAACCAGAAGTAAGTGTGTATAAAAGTCCAAAGAGGAAAGGGGAGGGAGCAACAGAGCTGAGAATGAGTATGGGATTTGTCTTTCAATATGGTGTTTTTAGCATTATTTGAATGTGGATAACTGACTATGTGGATAGGTGGGTCTATGTGAATGAGGCATGTTGGTCTATCTACAAGAGGATTGGCTATCTACCATTCCATAAGGGAATTGGACAGTGTCAACAATCTACAACGGAATTTGCTAGTCTCACTAGTATATTGAACAGCTCTTGCTGCAGAGATGGATTTTTTCCCCATGAGAAGAGGAAAGAGACCTCCTCCAATAAAAAAGTAGCAGCAAAATGTAGAACATGCTTGGAGATAGCAGCAGCAGCCATGGTAGAGCTGGAGATACGACGTGAAATGAGGTAAGACCTTGAGTCGGGGGAAGGGTGAGCCATATTGGCAGAACTGAGAACTTTGTTGGACAATTGGCAGGGAGAGCCAATACTGACAGGACTGAGAACTTGAGAACACTTAGAGCTGAGAAGGTCGATGTTGAGGTGCCTGTAGGCACATTTTTTGAACTGTCTTGATTACATTCAGTTATTAATCGGGATTATAACCTTTTGACTTCCCCAATATGGTTCTGTTTGGTCTACGAACAATCACATTGGATTTTGGACCCAGCAAATCAGCAAGATTGGTGTTGAGATGAGTAGAAAGAGATATACAAGCATGGGGAACATGTCTGACTTCATGGGAATTGATTTTATGTTATTGATGCTGTGGGTGGGGACAGTTCCCCCCATGATAAATGCCATACCCATGTAGACCTTGCTTTTTTTTTTTGGCAGTGAGGATGAAGGAAATCATGGCATCACATGATTTTGTGGGGTGAAGGGAGTGGGTGAAGGAATTAGGAAAGATCCAGTGGGGACCTGAAAGGTCACGGTAATAGTAGGCACATATCTGTGGTGATTAATTTTATAAGACACATCATTTGAAACACAATGCGGATGGGGGGAATCTCTTTCAAGTACAAAAGGGCAAGGATGTCAGTTTGAAAAATATGCTGATTTTGGTAGTTTCAATGTCTTTAAATGCATCTGGATGTTGAAGAATCTATAAGGAGATTGAAGAATACATCGGAACTGTGGTGTTGGTGAGAAGTACTAAATAAACTACACACTACCAAGAACAAACTACTTTGTCATGGAAAAAGTATAACCAGTGTGCTCCTTGGGCAAAAGGATGGTGAAACTTCATCTCAGTGAGTTTAATTAGCATTCTCAAGGACAGAGAGTTTTTGAGTGAAAAATTCAGACATAAATTTATATTCTATACCATACAGAGAAGCATTACTTGCCACTGATTATAAAACTTCAAATGTTTAATATAATAACCCAATGTTTCCTATATTTAAAAGTGAGGCCCATCTGTAGAAAGGATGGCTGAAAAAACTCTAAATACTATTGTAATTAATACTATAGAAAAAAATGTCCATTAATGATTGCTTGAAAAACAATATGCTTTGTAAACTTTTAAAAACTATTAAAAAAAAAGAAAAATAATAAAGAGCTTTGGTGCTGTAGTCTGTAGGAAGTTGTGCTGCTAATCCAATGGTAACGCCTCTCTGGTTGTTCATTAGTGGCTTCAAGGGAGAAAGACAGGGAATCTCCTCCTATGTTACCTAAAGCCTCAGATTCCCAGTAGAGGGACAGCTATGAGTCTGTTCTAGCTCAATGGTAATAAGTGAATGAGGGTCTGTTAAGAAGCTTTGGTGGTATAATAGTTAAAGTGTCTGGCTGTTAACCAGAGTTGGCAGTTAGGACTAACTAGCCATTATGTTTCTGGAAAGATTACCACCTAGAAAACCTTATGGGGCAGTTCTACTCTGTCCTATAGGATCACAAGGAATAGGAGTTAGACTTGAAGGCACGGGGGAGGTGGTGCAGGTGGAAGGGTCTATTTAATCATTTGCTATTTGGGAATAATGACGATGACTTTGCGTGAGCAGTTAATGGTGTAAGTGCGTGAAAAGTTGTTTGTCAAATATTCAATTAGTTAGCATTCAATTATCTGTTTATCCCTTATTCTGTTACTCAAGCCCAAATTATTTTTTTCTGCGTGGCTTCTGAAGATCGCCCTCAACTCAACCAAAATGGAAAAACAAACAAACAAAATACAAAAAACCACCAATAAAACAAAAAAACCAAATTTGTTGCCTCTGTGTGTAGTAGAAATGTCCCATTTGGTACCCAAAATAATAAATATTGATGGTAGCCAACTGCTACTTTTTTTTCTCATGCAGCAGAAGCAGCTGGATTCAAACATCCAATCTTCTGCTTAGCAGATGACTGTTTAGCCGCTGTGCTACCAGGACTCTTTGTCTTGGAATTTAACAACAACTACTAGAAGAAGCAAACCAATTGCAGTTCAGCTGAATTTCAATGCACAGTGACTCTACAGGACAGAGGAGAACTGCCACAAAGGGTTTCCAAGGTTATAAAACAGAAGACGACTGTTACGTCTTCTTTCCATTTGAATCACTGTCCTTTTGGTTAACAGCAGAGTGCTAAATTACTGCACAGGGCTTGGTCAGATATTAAGAAAGGTAACCTGTATCTCCTCTTTCCACTATGCATACTATGTTTTGGAAGCTCAACTCTGCCTCAAAATATAGAACTTGTGAAAAGGTCATATTTTCAGTTTACCTTTGGCTTTGGATTGCCAGCCACTCTGCATGTAAAAGTTACAGGCATCCCCTCAAAGATCTTGTAATGCTTCAGCTTCACCTCAAAGATTGGCGCCATCCCATTTTCCACAGGTACATCTCCATACTGAATTTCATCTCCTGATTCATCCACAGGAGACCTTTCCAGCCTGTACTCTATTTCACTGATGAGCCTCTGTTCACAGCTGGAGACTTTGTATTCCTGAATCAAACACAGAAATGTCATGTTAGCAATCTCAATCCCTAGTGATACAACATATCTCATGAGTTGTCTTATCCTCTTTTTCAATAAGACATCTAATAGATTTAAAAAATGTCTGGGTCCATTTCAATTCCATATTTAACAGCAGCAATGTGGAAGTAAGTTTGTATGATATTTTACATTGTCTTCAAGTTCTATAGCACAAACAATGAGCTTCTAAATATGAACTAATTACTATTTTCTCTTTTGGGGAAGAGTATGAGGGTAAAGCACAAAAAAAGGCAAAAGTTATATGTTCTTGTTCATGAAGTAAACACAGTGGAAAACTGTAACCTCTTTCCAGAGGTAACACACTTTCAGAGGATAGTGGCACATATCCTCAGAAAGCCAAAGCTGTAATATTGCATAGTATTGAATCAAAGGAGTAAAGGAAAAACTATGGTACCACATTCTTTAATAAATTTTAATTCAGCTTCTAGACTCCTCTTCCTCAGTCCAAGTGTTACTAGAAATAATTCTACCTACCTTGAAAGAAAAATAGAACTGTCAACGTTTTGGCTATAAAGGAATACAGGAGTAGAGCAAGTAACTCAATACCCTATGGGAATTCAAGTAGATACTACAGTTCGCTTACAAGTGCAATATATTAAAAAATAATCTCCATTTACATCCATAAATAAAGCCTCATCTCACTAGCACCCTGCCTCTCCTCCGGATTTCTTCTTAAAAGAGAGAAGTCTGCCCCTTTTGAGATGTGCCTTCTAATAAATGTATCTTTACTTTTATCTTTAAAAAAAAAATCTCCATTTAATAAATACAAGATTTTTAAATGAAGTTTCTCTTCAGTTACGCAACTTAAAAAAACAGTTTGTTTTCTTGAGGTAAGACATAAAACAGAGTAAATAAAACTCAAAAAATTATATCACAAGTTGTTTTGTTCCATCCTTATCAAACTCAGCAGTTTAGGAATTAGTAATTTTATCTTCCCTAGACAGGTACAACACATGAAAATCTTTTCATGATTTCAAGTCTAGCATATCCACTGATGACAGAATTAGATTAAATTTGCAAAGAAATTACAACAGAAATTATATCACAGCACTTTAGTGAATCTGATATTAAATTAAAACATACACTGGTCATATAAAGCCTTCAAATCCTAACATCTATAGAAACTGTTATAATTAACACAGAGCAGAAAAGACAGATAGGAATGCTAAGAAAAAAATAACAAGGAAGGACAGACAAAATAGACCCAGGGAAAGACTAGAAGGAGAAGACAGGTGAAAAACTTAACCTTTTGACCATCCAGAGAACTCCCTACAGAGGCATGAGAAGACCCAATTTCCTGTAATGTAGAAAAAAGAAAGAAAAAAAAAAGAAGTGAAGGTGAATAATAGATAAAGAAAGACCAGAGTTCTAAAGGTAAGAGTTCTAGTTTTCTCTAGGTAAAATTTTGTAGTAGAAATATTATATACACAGAAAAACTTCTGGGTGGCAAAGCTTAACCCATTTCTTAATAGACATGTGGAAAAGGTTTCAATTGGTACTTTAAATTTTCTAAAGAATCTTTTAAAATTCTAGGTGATATAACTACAAATTAAAAATGCAAACTCGTTGCTGTCAATTTGGAACTGACTCACAGCTCATGTTCTAGTGGGTTTTCAGCAGGCTGTGAACCACGTAGGAAGAGACTGTCCGGAGACGCTGTAAGTGGAGTCAAAGTGCCAGAGAGGCACAGCCTACGGGTTAGTGCAGCTCCCTCGGAACCACACAACCAGAGCTTTCTTGACTCCCCAGAAAAGTTATATAGTCAGTTTGCAAACTCCAAAAAGAGGTAAAGATTATAAAATAGCTTGCAGCAAATCCACGAAGAGAGGGAAAAAACCCAAAAAACCAAACACCAACCCCTAGGCAATTTTTTTAGAGAGAGGGAAAAAACCCAAAAAACCAAACACCAACCCCTAGGCAATTTTTTTATTTCTACTGCTCAGTCATTTATCATTACATATGAGAAAGAAGATAAGGCCAGTCTTTTCTGTCCATAAATATTATACTTTGGATGTTAAGACTATAAGAGGAAATATCCACTAGTATTTCAAGTAATTTCAGTGAAAATATTTTTAAGTATTAGAATCAACTTATCAATGAGAATGTAAGCATAATAGTTTTCACTCAAACAGTTCCATGAATCACTGAAACACACTGTCTGGTACATGGCATCTCCAATAAATGTTAGCCCTGAGGTTGACTGATGGTATTAATGCTGTTTTTCTATGACTTTCCCTCTATTTTTCACAAATTTATCTCTAGAAATGCATATAGGTAAAAGGGCCAGATTAGCAGTTACTTCTTAAAAGAATCCCAAGGCAGCACTGTACCTGATGAGCTGGTTCTTCTTCTGGCTCCTGAATGTTAAAGACAGTTGCACTATCAGCACCTAGTAATCGGCGAGCCATTCTTTCTTCATATGTTAATTTCTAAACAAAAGCAGTCACAAAGGAATACAGAGTTAGAAACAGCAATCATATATTGCCTCCTGAATACCAGAAAAAAATTTTCTCTATTCTGTCTTTATATCTCTGCATAAGAGAAGTCTGTATCTTTCACTTATTTCAGTTGCCTTTCATTTCTCCTTATGACCCTAATGACTGAAGCCAGTGTTGGTAGGTAGGGCAATTAATTAAACCATAAACTTAAGATGCATAATAAGCAAATGGCCGGTCATCTGACGATGTGTTGTACTGTGGTGGCTTGTGTGTTTCTGTACTGTTAGAAGCTATGCCACTGGAATTTTAAACCATAGTCTGCTGTCAGAGACCTCTCCCAAAGTACTGAAGAACAACGGTGTTAGTCTGGAGACTGAGGTGTGCCTGATTCAGGCCACAGTCTTTGCAATTACTTGCTATACAACAGAAAGCTGGACAGTGAAGAATTGATGCCTTTGAGTTGTGGTGTTGGAGAAGAGTATTGAATATACCATAGACTACTAGGAGAACAAACAAATTCATCCTGGAGGGGGTGAAGTCAGGCTGCACCTTGGAGGCAAGGATTCTGAAGCTTCATCTGACATACATTGGACAGGCAGGATTAGCCCTTGAAGAGGGACATCATGCTTGGGAAGGGTGGAGGGACAGCACAGGAGAGGAGGACCCTCAAGGATAACTTTTAATAGACAGGTGAACTAAAATAGTTCTTATGCTTTGGAAGCTAATATTTTTAGAGGCCATACCTACTAAGTTTATATGCTGAATAAGTAATTTGAGAAGCTGGACTTTATGAAGTAGAATGTGGCATTAGAACTGGAGGAAAACTCATTATTAACCTGCATTATGCAGCTAACATTCTTGTGTGCCTAAAGTGGGAAGGACTTGAAACACTTGCTGAAGAAGATAAAAAATATTACAGTCTTCAATATGGATTACATATCAATGCCAGGAAGACAAAAATCCTCACCCACTTGGCCAATAGATGATAGATGGAAAAAAAGATTTAAGTTGTCAACAATTTCATCTACCTTGGAAACACAATCAACACCCTTGGTACCCGCAGTCAAAAACTGAGATGTGTTGTACTGGGAAAATCTTCTGTCAAGGATTTCTCTAAAGTACTAAAGAGCAATAATTCCAATTTAAAGACTAACATGCACCTGATACAAGCCATGGCCTTTTCAATTATTTGTTGTCCTTTTGATAGTTGGGCAATGAATAAGGATGAGAGGAAAATGAATGACTTTGAGCTGTGATGTTGGAGAATACTTACTATCTCATGGACTGCCAAAAGAACAAATAATTATGTCTTAGAGAAAAAAAAATGGAGCTAAAGATTGCATGATAGAATTTTGCAAGACCTAGGAACTTATTTCCAATATCTTTTTCCAATAACCTAAATGGAAGCTCACACGTGGACCTTGCATGATGGAATATATAGAAACGAAATTGACTACATCTGTGGAAAGAAACAATAGAGAAGCTCAGTATTATCAGACCAAAGCAAGCTATGAGAATATGTCAGAACAAAGAAAGCTATAAGAATATCTTAGATTGCTCATATGCAAGCTCAAGTTGAAACTGAAGAAAAACTTAAGTAAGTCCACAATAGTATGACTCTGCGTTTATCACATCTATTTAAAATTTGGAGACCATTTCAAGACCAGATTTAATGCGCTGAATCATAATAAATGAAAATGAGATAAATTGTGGGATGATATCAGCAAAAGTAAAAAGTCATTAAACAGGAAAGAAAGAGAAGACAAAAATGAATGTCAGAAGAGACTTAAATTGCTGCTGAACATTAGAGTAACAAAAGCAAAAGAAAAAAGGATGAAACAAAAGTTCTCAAAGAATCGTTTGAGAAGACAAAAATGAAGTCTTATACTGAGATATGTAAAATTGTACAGCCAGAAAAAAACAAAAGGGAAGAACACTCTTGGAATTTCTCAACTGAAAGAAGCAAATGAACAATTCAAGGCTTGAGCTGCAATGCTATTATTGTTCACTGTCATGTTGGTGGAATCCTATCATAGCTATGAAAAGCAGATCATACTTTGCTTGAGAAAAGTGAAGCAGACTCATGCACCTACTGTTGGAGATCAAAGATCCTAAGTCTGCACTGAAACAGATGAGGGAGAGAGCTGTTTAAAAGGGATGTATGATTAGGTATTATTGCCATGACAAGAGTCCAGAATGAAGACTGCATAGTGGAGTGGACTTGGGGGGAGGGATTGTATAACAATGAAAGAATTTTTCTTTAACTTTTCGAAGAGACGAGCAGAGCAAATTGGGGGTTGGGAGTGGACAGGGAGAAAAGTGCAACAATGAATGAATGGAAATTAAAAAAAGAAAGAAATCCAAAGTCTCTGTAGAACTTTCATTAAAAATAATTTAAAAAGAAAGTAAAAAAAAAAGTCTTCACAAGAAAATCCTTGTAACTTGACCAATAAGCAATAGCGTGTGAAATTTTTTAAAAAAATGATTAAATTCATCAAATATTTAATTCTAATTGGATCCATAGTTAATTCCAATATAGCCAAAGTCAAGAAATCAAATGGCATATGACATCGGACAAATCTGCTGCAAAAGACCTCTCTGAAGTGTTGGAAAGCAAAGATGTCGCTATAAAGGTTAAAGTGCACCTGACCCACGTCACAGGTTTTTTGCAATCACCTCACAGTTGGACAATGAACAAGGAACACTAGTCAGAATTGTTGCCTTTGAAATATAATACTGGTGGAGAATATTGGTTATATTATAGGCTGGGAAAGAAGAAATAAATCCGTCTTGGAAGAATTACAATCTGAATGGCCTTTAGAAGTGAACTTGATGGCAAATACTTTGCATCTGTTATAAGGAGTGATCAGTCTTTGGAGAAGGACATTAAGCTTGGCAAAGTTGAAGGGTCAGCAAATAAGAGGAAGACTCTATATGAGATGAACTGGCATAATAGCTGTAGTCAGGACCTAAGTATGGCAGACTGGGAGGCTGACGTAGCACTGGGTTACCGCTTTGCTCTGCTGTACATACAGTCATTATAGACAGCACCTGGCAACAACAGTGAGCAAAAACAATTCAGGCAGAAACTACATGGAAAATAAGGTATCATATATTTATCCTTGGTGATAAACAGAAGAGAGAAGATCTCAAATAGCGGAATATTCTTTATAGGAAATAGACATCCCTGGAACTCCAAGATGGCTCCACAGACTCTGAGATGGAACGTTTTAGACCACCAGCTGGAAGTAGTCTGCTTTGAGGTGCTCACTTTCTAAGATCATTTCTTAGGCTGCTGTGTGATATAGGTAAATATAATAATCCCCCAAAAAGTATTGCACATGGTAAAATTGTTATCATTATGTGCCATCGAGTCGTTTGCGACTCATAGTGATCCTACATACAACAGCCCTAAACCCTGCTCTATGCTGTGCCAATCGCATTGCCCCTGACACACCCATCCCGATTACCCCAGTCACTCGATCAATCCACCTCATAGAGGGTCTTCCCCTCCTGTGCTGTCCCTCCACCCTCCCAAGCATGATGTCCCTCTCCAAGGACCTGTCTCTCCTTACAACATGTCCACAGATGTCAGACAAAGCCCCAGAATCCTTGCCTCCAAGGAGCAGCCTGGTTTAACCCTCTCTAGGATGAATCTGTTTGTTTTCTTGGCAGTCCATGGTACATTCAATACTGTTCTCCAGCACCACAGCTCAAAGGCGTCAATTCTCCTTCTATCCTCCCTTGTCATTGTCCAACTCTCCGATGCATAACAAGTGACTGCAAAGACCATGGCCTGTATGAGGCGCACCTTAGTCTCCAGAGAGACACCGTTGCTCTTGAGTACTTTAGAGAGGTCCCTAACAGCAGACTTTCCCATTGCAATACGTTTTTTGATTTCCTGGCTGCTGGTGCCAAGAGTGTTGACCGTGGAGCCGAGCAAACTGAAGCTGTGAACAATCTCAATCTCTTTGCCATCCATCCTGATGCTACCGATTTGTCCAGTGGTGAGAACCTTTGTCTTCTTGACATTGAGCCTCAGTCCATACTGAAGGCTGCAGTCCTTGACCCTCTGCAGTAAGTGCACGAGGTCCTCCTCCGTTTCAGTGAGCAGGGTTGTGTTATCTGCATAATGCAGATTGTTGATTGATCTTCCACCAACACCCTTCCCAATTACCAACAGAATTACAAAAGACACTTGTCAAAACTAACATTCACAATTCATAATTCTGCTCAGATCAGACTGCTTGCCTATTAAGCAAAGAAAGTGGCTGTGATTTTACATTTAACAAACAGAACTGTGAAACAGGCCAAAACAACAACACTAGTCTAATCTTCTTAACTGCGGCTGCGAGAAAGGGTTTAAGTGCAGCAGTAATTCTGGGGACAGTGGGCAATCGGGCAATTTTGTTCTGTTGTAGACAGGGTCCCTGTGAGTCAAGACAGAATCAAAGGCACCTAACAGCAACATTCTTATCTGAGGGAAATGTTAACTGTTCTGTTTCTTTATTTTGAGGGTTCTTCCTCCTCTTGTTCTCTTGACTGCAGAAATTGCTTACAAGTATATAGAAAAAGGAGGAATGTTCAGAGATCCTCTAACCTACCAGAGTTTCATCCAAAATAAGAAGAATCTAGCAGCAGGGAGCAGCTGTGAAGTAGAAGCTATTAAAAACAATTTAGCAGTTATTCTAGATAAATTTCTGAATATAGATGCAAAATCTATTGGAAATTTCTAGTCAGGAAAATATGTTGGGCAAACTTACAATTTCCAGTAATTATTGGTTCTAGTCCCACTTCGAACTGGGAAATATAACAAGTAATTGCTAAATGAGGGAAAAAGTCCCCAAGTGAATTTTTTTCCCCTTAATAAATATAGGGAGTGGACAAAGAGAAGCAGGGGAAGATGTCTGAATGGTGCACACAGTGTCTCAGTATAGCATGCTGTTACTTCATTTTCTTACATCTATTATTAAAGTAATGTTTTCAAAGAGAATCTTAAATTACTACTTTCTTTTTAGTACTTCCTATTCTTTTCACAAATAACTATATCAACATCACACAGATTGGCGTTAAGTCTACTCTATTGCTTATGAGCAGAAATAGTAATTCACCCTCTATTCCTTTTCCAGCACTAGAACACACGTGCGATCATAAGAAGCCAAATTTCCTTCACAGCTTTGTTTGTGAGTCATTACAACATGTGGATATGCAAGCCCTTGCTCATAAAAGCCAAGAGGGAACAGGATACTATGTAGCAAAAAGTTACAATTAAGAAAGAACCTCATTTTCTAAAGAGGGACATCTTATTTTTCTTGTCCTTTTATCAAATGTAGTAAGTCTATGGTATTTATTGTGAATGTCATTTAGCAGTGGGTTCACTACTTGACAGATAAAATCTGCTGCCAGAGACTTCTCCAAAGTGCTAAAGAGCAATGACATTGGTGTAGAGACTAAGGTGTGCCTGATTCAGGCCATGGTCTTCGCAATTACTTGCTATTCATCAGAGCGCTAGACAATAACTAAGAATGACAGAAGAAGAATTGATGCCTTTGAGTTGTGGTGCTGGAGAAGTATATTGGACATACAATAGGCTGCCAAGAGAAGAAACAGGTCTAATCTGGAGAGAGTGAAACCAAGCTGTTCCTTGAAAGCAAGGATTTTGAAGCTCCATCTCATATTATTTTGGATATGTGGCCAGAAGGGACCAGTCCTTAGAGAAAGGCAACATACTCAGAAGGGTGGAGGGACAGGAGAGGAGAGGAAGGCCCTGGATGAGATGGACTGATACAGTAACTGGGGTAATGTGGGTAGGTGTGTCGGAGACAATGAGACTGGCTCCGGATAGGACAGGCTTCAGAGCTATTGTACAATGGGTTGCTATGAGTTGCAGTCAACTCAGTCGCACATAGCAACACACAGAACTGACAAAAACATGGTATGAGTGAGTACCAGCTGATGGAAGTCTTCATTTAACCAAGAGAATCTTAGTTCATAGAAATATTTAAACCACCATCAGAAAAATAAAAAAAGGAAAATAAATAAAAACTTGGAGAGATGCCTCTACGTAGTTTGAAAAAGTTCACACAAATATTTGTTCTAATCTCTCAAAGGCTCAAGTTGACAGATCCAGGAAAAGCTTCCAGACTATGAACATTTACACATGCAATCAATTATTTCAAGAAGAAAGTACTTCTCTATTGTGAAAAATCTCCTCTATTCACTAGAATGAGTAACATGGAATCTCACGAGAATTTTAATCTTCTGAAACTCAGATTGTTGACTTGGACACACTAAAAATTTAAGAGAGCATTCAGTACTGTTCCTCTGTTTTCTGCTTTCCCAGTCAAACACACTCAATTCTTACATATTTTTGTATTAAACCTGGACAATTAAAATACCTAGAAAACATGACCAACAAAGGATTTTGTACTCAGAGGTTACATATTTCAACAGATTTTTTTTTAAATCAAGAACCTTGTTCCGGCTCCACTTGAGAGCCAGGTAACATTTTGGGATCATTCTATAATAGCGTCATAAAAGGCTCCTTTTCTTTTCTTAGGGAACTTGCTTACTAGACTTGCTACACCCACCTTTTAAAAATAGCCTAATGTGGTAAGAAAAATGCCAAAACCAAAAACTATGAGGAAATATTTAATTCCAATGGATAAAAGATATTTTACTAGATCCATTTATAAGTCTACAGTCACAAAAAATATGTATCTATCTATAGCAAATCTTTTTCTTCTTCTTTTTTTAAGTTTGGTAGTTCTGTCCTAACAAAATAAGATTGAGACACTACATTACCCTCAGAATACTTCTCCAAACACTGTACTGATCTAGAAGAACAGAACTGGACATCAGCAGTGGTTTCCCTAGAGAAGGTATTTTCCCGTAAAAACAGTGTATGTCATAGAATTCAATTTTCCTTTCAGTACTTTAATTTCGCTTGATTGCATCTGGGTAGATGCAAATCGTTTTAGAACACACCTCATGCCTTCCTCCTCAGCTCCATCTATGGGAATGGAAGCCCTAGGTTTCTCTTTTAAAAAAGAAAATGAAATATAATCCTTGCCATTACTTAATGATTACATTCTATTCCCAACTGATTTCATTTAAAATTAGTCCTTTCTCTCCATCTATCTGTACTTTAAGAATGACTCTGTTTAAAAGGGATACATGATTAGGTATTATTGAAATGACAGGAGTCCAGAATGAAGGCTGCATAGTGGAGTGGACTTGGGGGGAGGGATTGTAGAACAGTGAAAGAATTTTTCTTTTACTTTTCAAAGAGCAGAGCAAATTGGGGGATGGGGGAGGGAGCAAAGTGCAGCAATGAATGAAGGGAAACCCAAAGTCTCTGTAAATTTTCACTGAAATTAATAATAACAATAATAAATATTTTCAGAGGAAAAAAAATTACTCATGAGTAGTAAAATGGAACAGAGAAGGCAGAGTAGTCATTTTACTTTCTCCCAGATTCTAGCCATGATGCTAAGAAGAGTGCTGATATCAGGGTTAATAAAATAAATTTATGGACAACTATCAAGAAGGTAAATTCTGAAAAAGTGAGTTAAGAACCCTTTGATATGGGCAGAGAATATTCCAAGCTCAGGTTCCAAGTTTCTTCGTACCGGCTGGCCGTTGTTCAGGAGGTCCTCCTTGAAGCGAAGCTTTCGTTCCAGGTCTTGAATGACAGCATCCTTTGTGCCCTGGATCTCCTCATCAGAAGCTATTCTAGCAGTTCGACTAGCTTTCTTTGGAAAACCCCTGCAGGACAAAAACAAAAGGTGGTTCAGTCAGTTGTCAGGCATATAAATCTGAGTACAACGTTCAATTCTATCAAAGAAGGAGTGCAAGATGTCACCATGTCACTCCATTCTTTGTATACTACTGAAATGAATTATGAGACGAGTCATGAACGCTGGTTTCAGAAGCTCAGGAAACACTAACTGGCAGACTTTTCAGAGTAAATCTAAGGGTCAGGATAACTGTGGAAGGTGCCTGTAATGCATAGTGTTTATGCTCTTGGCTGCTAGCTGAAAAGTTGATGGTTCAAACCCAACATTTGCTCTACTGGAGAAAGATGTGGCAGTCTGCTTCCCTAAAGATTTATAGTCTTGAAAACCCTATAGGGTAGCTCTACTTTGTCTTATAGTGTCACCAGGAGTTGGAATTGACTTGATGGTAATGAATTAGTTAGTTATAGTTCAGTATGTGAATAAGTTCCTCCTGGAGACAAAACAGATCAGCTGGACAAAGAGTTGGTTTGAAAAGTAAGTGATGCTACTGTCTGATAACTTTGTGGATTTCTACTATATTGGAAGTTTCTATGCATTTTAAAAAAAAGGAAATAATAAAATAGTGACTGTCATCACAGTTGTCTTAATCTTGTTCTATGTGATGTGGAGAAGGCAATCAGAATCTTGATCATAAGAAGCAAAGTGTTGCTGTTGTTAGGTGTCATTGATTCCACTCCAAGCAACAGACACCTCATGAACAACAGCTCAAACCTTGCCCTCTCCTGTGTCATCATTACCGTCTCCACCATGCTCAAGACCATTGTTGCAGGCACTGTGTCAACCCATCTCATTGAGGAGCAAAGTGAAGGGTACTAACTCTAAGTGCAACGGGATTTTAAAATGAGGTAACAACTATGCTGACTGGAAAGACTGGAGAAGATTCCATGAAAGGGACAGTATCTAAGAGAATGATGATGAGGATGTAGACAAATGGAGATGTGGGGAGGAAGGAATGCAGAGTCAGCATGAAGAACAGCACAGAGTAAGATCCTCTTCACAGATGCAAACCTGTGTGGCTAGGCTTGTTACCTAACTCCCACGTGCCTCTGCTTTCTCTCCTGTAAAATATGAGATTGGTAGCATAGGCCATACAGAGTGGTGGAACTACAGGAGCTATTGAATACTGAACACATAAAACAGTACGTGACATAGTAGGAGTGAATCTCAAGAAGCGAAAAAAAAAAAAATCCATCATGAAAGCGAACCACAGCAATGAAACTGGCTGAGGGAAATAACATGGAGGAGAGAAAAGCATGAAATGTGTGCCAAGAATTCCTGAGCAGAGTGTCCAGGAATGTATAACTAAAAAAACTCCTTACTTTTCTATACTTAACTCTATTTCAGGTGCTGGGAATAGAATGTTGAACAAAACTAGCCACTGCATTGACAGAGATTATGTTCTCCAGTGGGAGTGACACAGAGGAGACAGGAAGAAAAAGAAAAAGAATGGAAGGCAGCCATATTTGGAGGTGGTGTGACTAGGACATGACAGGTGTATGAGTAGACAGCTGTATTAGACAGTGTGGTCAATCAAAGCTCTAAGGAGTAAACATTACAGCTGAGGTCTAACTAATGGAAGCATTGGCTATCGGAAGAACCACACGGACAGTGAGCAGTACAAAGGGCCTTCCCCAGAAGGAGCCTCACAGTGTCAAGAGATGGACACAGCGACCCTCAAAGAAGGAAATTTAGAATGCAGTATTTCACACACTTATTTTAATATGGCAATTTGTCTTTCTTCAGAGAGCATTTCATGGGATGAATGTGATCCACAGCAATCTTTAGGAGTCAAAATAGAGTATTTTGAGAGAGGGGATAGCATAAAAGAAAGGCAGCTATAAAATTTTGAGGCAAAGTTTTGGCAACTGAGCTTGCTTCCTATAAAACAAATTCTTTGTTGTGATTTAATGTATGATAGCTGTAGGTCTGTTCTCCCAAACAGCACTACTTTTAATAAACAGAGCAGCAGATAGTAAGGAAATGAAACAGAAAATCTGTGACAAAGAGGTAATTTTCTCTCATGACAGCTTGTACAATTGGGAAAAAAAAACCCAAAAAACTTGTTCAAAGTAAACTGTTACTAAAACCAGAACTCATCACAAAAAGTCATACTCAGAAGCAAACTGTAACTGGTAAACAATTCCTAACAGGCCTCCCACAGTCAATACTTCAGTATATACACACTCGGCCCAGCTGTGCAGAAGACATTACTGACCTGTTTACTCTTGTGTCAACACTAACTCACTTGCCATTTTAAAATAATATTCATGTGGTTGAGGGTAGAGACGTCTCAAATATATACACAAGCATCTGGAAGTTAAATCTTCCAGATTCAACCACAATCAAATCCCAGGAGGGTTGTATTTTTTGTTGTTGTTGTTTTGCTACTGAATAATCTTGAAAGCATTCTTCCTTTTACTTTGCTAGGTCAATCCTGTCATGATATTTTAGAAACTCAGAACTCCAGGGAACAACGCTGATTTAAGAGGTTATGTCTAGCAACCACAGAGATTTATTTATTTTTTTAAAAAACCAGAAAAGATCTACATAAAGTCCTCTTTTCCTCCCATTCTCCTCTTTGGTGAAATGTGATAAAAATCAAATTCCACATTTCAGTGTGAGCAAACTCATCAACACACAGGCATTTATGTATAAATTACATTCAAGAATATATCAATTAATATATAAAAAAGTCTCACTCATTCAAACTCAGTTTGCCAAGGATGACAGGAGAAGAACTGACGTCTTTGAGCCATGGTGCTAGAGAAGAGTACTGAATATACCATGAAATGCTGAGAAAATGACCAGGTGCATCCTAGAGAGGGTGGGACCAGGCTGCTCCCTGAAGGCAAGGATTCGGAGGCTTTGTCTGACATACTTTGGACATTTTGTAAGGAGGAATCAGTCCTTGGAGAGGGATGTCATGCTTGAGAGGGTAGAGGGACAACACAAGAGAGGAAGACCCTCGAGATGGATTGATCCAGTGGCTGGGGTAATGGGAGTAGGTGTGTCAGAGACAGTAAGATTGGCACAGGATAGAGTAGAGTTTAGGGCTGTTGTACATAGGGTCACTATGAATCACAGGTGACTCGACGGCACATAACAACAACAACAACAAGGTTTTATCGTACAACTATTGGGAGCTTTAAACTCAAATTGAAAGGAAATCTGATAATTTGTGCTTTTAACTTTTGAGTTCTTTAAAGGACAAACTCATACATTTACATTCTTATATCTACTTTAGGGAGTAGATTGCCCAATAAGCATGGGCTTACTTGTGCTTCTTTACTGATCTACGGTGGCCAATTTCACATGGATTTCACATGGAATAACCAGATGTCTGAACAACTTCAGAGCTGTGGTGAAACTCATGTGAAATTGTTGACAACAGATGAGTACATCAGTCTGTGCTTACTTTCTGGGTACTCCTTCCCTGCTCCCAAACCCTGAAAAAAAGCCGAGTCTGACTTCCACTGGGTTTCTGAAACTCTAAGTCTTGATGGAAAGACAATGCTCATTTTACTCTTTTGAAGCCAATGGTGGGTTTGAACAGAGGGACCTTTATGGCTAACAGGCCAATATGTTCTGCTACCCACCAGGCCTCCTTCTACTCCTGGCAAGGACAGGAAATTTGAAAAGAGGTTTTTGAGTAATTTTCTGGGAAATGCTTCTCAGAATTAGATATAAGCTTTTGTTTGTGCAATCTTCAAAGAGATGAAATCCTAATAAACCCAAACCAAAATCTTGGAAATTACCCAACCCTTTCAGGTTCTGCTTCCTAATGGAGAAGAGCAAGGCCCCATCCATCTATTTCCTGCAAGATAGGCGAAAGACAGAACCATGAAAGTGTCCACAAAGTCCAATATAGCTTTCACTTTCTGGATTCTTTTTAATTGGCTAGGAAAAGATACATACTTGTTCCCATTCTTAAAAAAGACGATCCAACAGAATGTAGAAAATATAAATATCATAAGTAAAACACTACTGAAGATTATACAAAAGCAGCTAGAACAACACATAAACAGACTTGCAAGAAGACCAAGGTGGTTTCAGAAGAGGCCATGGCATCCGGGATATCACTGCAGATGTCAGATAGATCCTAGCTGAAAGCAGAAAATACCAGAAGAATTTCTATTTGTGCTTTATTAACTATACAAAGACATTTGTCTGTATGGATCATAACAAATTATGGTTAACATTGAAAAGAACGAGAATCCCAAAACACGTAATTGTGCTCTTGCAAAACCTATACTTAGATTAAGAGGCTGTTGTGCAAATAGAGTGCAAAGGAAGACTACATGGTCTAGAATGAAGAAAGATGTGTGTCAGAGTTGTATCCTCTCTATACTTTTTTAATCTGTATGCTGAGCAAATAATTTGAGAATCTGGATTCTATTAAAAAGAATGTGGCATCAGGATCAGAGGGAAGCTCATCAACAACCAGCATTATGTAGATGATGCAACCTTGCTTGCTGAAAGTGAAGAGGACTTGGAGCACTTGCTGCAGAAAATCAAAGACTACAGTCTTCAAAATGAATTACATATCAATATCAAGAAGACAAAGAAACCTTGTCAGTACTAAACCACTGGTAATACTATGATAGCTTGACAAAACAGTAAAATTGTCAATCACTAGATTTTACTTAGGTCTACAATCAACATCCTTGGTGCCAAGAGTCTGGAGATCAAGAGACATTTTGTATTGGTCAAGACCACTGTTGGGGACCTCTCCAAATTACTGAGGAGCAATAATGTCATTTTGAAGAGTAAGATGTACCTGATTCAGACCATGGTTTTTCTAATCACTTACCATGCATATGAGAGCATGACAATGCATAACGATGACAGAAGAGAAACTGATGCCTTTGAGTGATAGTGTTGGAGAAAAGTACTGAATATCCCATGGACTTGCAAAAAAAAAAAAAAAAAAACAACTCCCCAAAAGAAACCCCAAACAGATGTCTTGGA